GCCACCAATAGAAAACATTCAGCAAGGAAGAAAGAAGGTCCTATATGGTTTGTCCATGTTTCCAGTGTTACTGTACAAAATAATAATTTTTTTTTTGTTTTTTTTTGTTTGTCATCTATACAATGCTTGAAGCTAAATTAAATTCTTTCAACACTTTCAATCTGTTTGATATGCTAAATTAGGGCTAAAATCCAAACACATTACTAAAGTGTTGTTATTAATTTTTCTATATAATGGACAACGATCAACAATCATACTGTTATTAATATACAATAAACAACGATCAACAATCATCATTAATGTATTGTTATTAATATTATTCTATTCTACACAATTGACAGCGTGTTAGGATTATTATTTGCACATTGTGTATTTTAAGTCAATACACTTTGTTAAGTGAGTTGAAGTCAGATGGGGCCCTTCGCAGGGAGTCGCTTGTCATCCTCATGATCCTTACATGCTTCCTGGTCGACGGCTACTCTCCTATTCCCCATCATTGTTTTAATTTCTTCAGGATATGACTCACTCTTTCATTCTGCATGCACAGGGTCAATAACTTGTACACATGATCAGAGCATCACCTAGTAAAGGAGTATTTCACTGGCAAACCCAGCTCAGATAACCTTCACTTGTTTTAACAGAACAATATGAACTTTAAATTAAACCTTCCTGTTGTAACAAACCAACTCTCCAAAAAGATAAAAACTTAAGTAATAACACATGCCTTAGATTTTAACAATGTAGTCTATCTGGGGGCCTCTCCAGGGTCGTCCCAATATCCATTTTTATCAAGGGGCGTAAGAATGATGGGGAAGTGAGCTATACAGTGCCAATGTTTTTATTTTTAAAAATCAAATCATTGCAACACTCGGAAAAAAATAATTCAAGTACAGTAGAAAATTGAAAATTAAATAGGTTGAATAAAAGGACCTGATGACCAATTATATTCAAACTATGAACAAAAAATAAAGCATAATAAAAATATTTTGGAAATGCATACGTAAGCTGGTGGTAAAGGTAAGAGAATAACGCATAAAGTGCAGCGTCACTGTGCTGAATTGTGTATGGCCGTGGTCCGTGACTACCTAGCCTTCGTAAAGATGCGCTTTCAAATATCAAAATTTGACTTAAAAAAACATTTCTATCTACTAAACAAAACAGAAAATACATTGCAAGTACATTCCGACATGCAGCTGGGCTACGGAAGCAAATAGTGAGCTTAATAATTCCTTGGCAGGAATTAAACACAGAATACTAGGGGTTAAAAAGCAAGCATCTTAACCACCAAGCAACAACTTCACTTATCAAAATTCCTTAAGAGGGTATCTATGGGAGATCCAATGTAAATTTGAAATTTAATCATTTTGGCTAGACCCCCAGGAGACCTGACAGTGCAGCACCAGTCCTGTGTAACGAATACTGTACATTATTCCTCACCCCAAATAACTCACATCAGATTCCCATTAATATCAGCCGGGTTTCAACTGGGGTCTTCAGCACAATAAGCAAGGACTTCACCTTTCGCCCAAAAGATCAGATTGGATCCCATCTCATTGATTTTTATAGAATCTAGCATGGCAGCTGACTGGACAACCATCCAACCTCTTCTTGATAGACACTGGCATAGGTCTATATGACAGCTGAGTCTGTTATGATCAAGGTTTATAAAAGGAGCAACAGGCATTATAGTGCATAAGGATGGCTGAACAAAGATACAGGTAAGGTTCATAATTCTGACCTACATGTAAGTGACCTTGAAAATGATATTATGCAAACAGGAAATTAAAGAAGAGAGCTATGAACTTGAAAATAAGGGGAATGATAACAGATGCAATGATGACCAATAATAAAGGGATGATAAAAGACGATATAAAAAACCCAACAGCCAGGAGGGTGCTAAAACAGTTGACATAATGACCAACATGGGGGATGCTAACAGATGATATAATGGCCAACAATCAAGGGATAATGGCCAACAAGTGAAGTTACAACATGGAGAGTACTTAACAAATGTTGTAATGACCAACAACATGGAGATACAAATAAATCATGACAAACAATCAAGTGAAGCTACAACATTATGAAGTCCTAACAAATGTTACAGTATTTGGTTAATAACATAGGGAGTGATAATATATTAATATAATAGCCAATACAAAATTGTTGAGACTACTGATTTGAGTCAAGTGATGCGCAATTAACATACAGTGACCTATGACCTTGTACAATGGTTATTATTGACAAGTATATATTATATTAAAATTCATGCAATAACATGCGAACTCTGCTGACTCATGCTTTATGCAATTAATTTTTGAAGAATATTCATTCTGGTAGCTTCCATAGTAGAGAAAAAAGTTTATTCATATTGATTCTGATGAAATCATAAGTCTATAGGTTTACTCCGGTCAACATGATTCTTTAATCTGAAGAAATATTATTATTGATGACATATTTTTACAATATACTTATTTTAATGAATCGCAACCTGATAGCTTCTTGTGTTCTAAACAGTCCTGTTCTGGTGGTTAGATTGCTTTGTTCTGATGGCTTCTGTTTTTAATTCTCTTGTTTTGATGGCTCCTGTCCTAATAGTTCCTATTCCAATAGCTGCTGTTCTGATGCTCCTATTCTGATAGCTGCTGCTCTGATACTCCCATCTGATAGCTGCTGTTCTGATATTCCTATTCTGATAGCTAACTGTTCTGATAGCTACTGCTCTGATACTACTATTCTGATAGCTGCTGTTCTGAGCTGCTAATCTGATAGCTGCTATTCTGATACTCCTATTCTGATAGCTATTGTTCTGACACACCTATTCTGATAGCTGCTGATCTGACAAAACTCCTATTCTGATAGCTGCTGTTCTGATACTCATATTCTGTTCTGATAACTGCTGTTCTGATAACTGCTGTTCTGAAAAACTCCTATGGTCATAGCTGCTATTCTCAAAGTTTCTATTCTATAATGGCTTCTAATAATAATAATAATAATAGTGTAGTTTTATATAGTGCACATATTCATCTAATGTAAGATGCTCAGGGCACTTGATATGTGGACTTACTTGGTGCTTGTTAGGGTCAAACAGAAATTTGAAACATTGGCAATAAAGATCAGGGAAATATATTATTTTCTGGCTGAACATAAATTAGTTAATACTGTCAATGTTACTGTTTCTCAACATAATCCTCATTACTATTGATATTTCAATATCTTTTTGATAATCAGCAGTTAGTACCAAGACTACTATCATTATTTCATATATTTTCTACACATATTTTATATACATAAGAACAGTGTTCTTATTATTTTGCAGATTTCAGGCTCAAGATGTTCTTATTTTGTTCATATTCTACACACCTTTCAAAGATGGACAATTATTATTTTACAGTACAGTATATTACTGTATTGCGTTATTATATTGCATTATAGCCACACCTACAGCACATAAGGTACAGATAAGATTGGTTGGTTTTTTTAACTTAAAAAATAAATAAACACCTCTTCTGAAATTTTACCTTAGCCTCAATTTGTTTTTATTTTGATCTTATTTTTTTAGCCAAATTTCAGCCTCAGTGTTTTTATAAAATGTATTCTTATAAAAAAAAATCATCTAAATAAATACAGTTAAATTCTGTAATACTATATTTTTGGAGTTTGCCATTTCTGGGTAATATGTGCCATGAATTTAATATCCAGAGAAAATTTGTAACACAAAGTAAAGGAAGACACCAAGCTGTTTCTGTATCTACTTTTACAAAATTCTCACTTCCTTCTCATTACTGGATGTATGGTAGAATCGTCATGGGTACTGTTTTTCCAGGTAAACGTGGGCGTTGATAGTTCCACTGGGTACAGTGACATTTTTAGTAAAAATATGTGAAACTGGAGAAACAAACTAAGCATGGAGATGTTTCTCAAGGACAAGGATAAGGTTGTTGGCCTTTGGGAGAATGACTTAGATTTTATACTACTCTGTATCGTCAGAGAAACAATAACAATAATAATAATAATAGTAATTATAAAATAATTAAAAAAAAGTAATAAAATAATAAGTAAGTATATTATATGATATTCCAATCACTGACAATTCTTTTCAATTTAAGTTTCTTTTATCATTTTACATTTTTACTTTAAACTTAAAAGTAATTTTGAGGTATAGGCATATAGTAGCTTACCACAATGTACATGGCACTACCAGTACATAGCAAATCACTATCAAATGGATGTACATCCTTTTATAGAATAAGGGACCATTAGCACACAGCACTGGGAATGTAAGTAGGTCAAGGGATGACCCACAGTGAATAGAAAAATCAGAAACATGGATCCACAGAGATCAGCTATTGAAAACTCCCCCAGCTCTCATCATCACAATCTCCACCCCACCAAAAAAAGAAACAATCAATGTCATTGGCCAGTTATAATTACAACGAGCATTGTATGCGAATGGGTGTTCCTGTTACTTATATTTTGCATTCCGCAATACATTTCTACAAACAGGTGGTAAAGTGTACTGGTTGAATGGGAATAAAATGCTAATAATTCCATCATGCTCAATATGAACTCTCAAGAAGAGACTCCTGGGAGGCAGTAGATCCTGAACAGATTCAATCGAATCACGATCACATTGAAACGTGAATCAAGGTTATGATAAAACGCAGGTGTAACAAACTTAGCCAATCATTAACATTGAACAAGTCCTTGTTTCTTTATTAAAGGTGGGAGGGGGAAGGAGGGTGGTTGCACTCCTTTCCCCTCCCCCAGTTTTTTAATATTAAAATCTATACCTAACCATTCCCAAGTTCTTCGTAAAAGCACCCTTTTGTACAACATATTAAAAAAAAAGAGTCCTTTGGAGCTAGTTTAAATACCAATATAATAGTACTATATAACTTATTTGCAACTGTTCTTTGTATAATGGAAAATTTAATATTATTTTATCTATTTTAATGGTTTTATATTAATTTTAAAATATCTGAGTCTGAAAAATATCTCACCACGGTAATCTGTTTCACTACCACTTGTTACCGATAAGCTTTCACTTGAATCACTTGGTGGACGATCTGAAAATCAACAAAAAAAAAACAATCAAGTTTACAATCTAATGTTATACTTCTTGATATATAATATTATTACAAATACGATTAAAAAATATTTTAATTTTATCTGGTTGTGCAATTGTATACATTTGGATGTTACTAATACACATTTCTCATAATGCTTCAAGTATCCTCCCAAATTTTAATATTACTGAACACTAGATCAACAAAAACTGAATTCTACTCTCAGCGAGGTCGCTACAAATACTATGTAGTATAGAGCACACAAAAAATTAGTGTATCAAAAAATAAAATTTATCTCGGAAAGTGTTTCTGTTATAAAAACATTAATTTAATTGTAAACATTTTGGGAAATTTTTGAAAAAAAAATTGGCAATAATATTCCTGATGCTGACCAATGGTGTGTTCTTTTGTTGGAGTATGTATTATTTTTAAAGAAAAACTTTTTTTTAATTTTCTTTACATTAGGAAGTCTTGTAAATTTATTGATAAGGAAGCTTTCATGTTGGTATGAGCTGACAACAATACACAATAAATCTTATGAACTGATGAATTACTACTAAAATAACTTGTTGATTATTCATAAGGGAATAATAGTGAAAGTACATGATTGAATATTGATCAGATAAGCTTAGGGAATCATAGATAAAGAAGACTAACTTACAATTACACAGCCTAATTCCCAGCTAACCATATTGCCACAGAACTTTAATTAGCGATACTAAGCCAGAGATAAAGCATCTCTGTAATCTCCTGGCTTAGCAATCAACATAAATTATAAGAATAATGAATAATTTAATACATGAACCACTGATTCATTGAAAAGTTATGAATAATTCATTAGTGAAGAATGGACATGTAATATTAGTACCTGATTCATAATCCATGAAGATCTCAAACAAGAAAAACTAGAAATTTGGAATGGAATGTTGTTAAAGTCTAAAACTTAAGAAACAGGTAGAAAGGTAGTTGGGAAATGCAGAATCACCAAGATCGGCCCCGGCATAAGATATAAAATGTTGGTATAAAGCTACTTACTAAAATGAATGAAATTGGAACAACTGTGAAAACATCATTAAACTGGCAATGAAACACCTTTCCCTCCCAACTTGACCAATTTTGGCAATTACTAGTTTTTAGTGCATACTTATTAAATTTCTTTTGATCAAAACTATTTTGAAATTGTTTAATAGTAAATTATTGTTGGGAGAAAAAAACAAGCTTAACTACAAACTAATTGTTCAAAACTAAGCTGAATTATGAATCTTATTCATAGATGTTTTGCACCTGGTTCCTGTTCACGGATATCATGATTTTGCACTTAATCAGCGAACCTTATGCACAGGTCATCGCGAAGTAGGTGAAATCTAAAGATGTTGAATGCACAAGAGCGTTAGTAGATACCAATATGTAGGCCAAGGTGAGGGTTAGCTATGCTATGGATAACTACCTAGTCGTTACCAGAACTAATAACCACTTAACCAATATCAAATGGGCCAATTAGAAGAATTATGGTTAAATGATGCTTAATTTCGCATGGAATGTAACACTAAGAATTCCTACAGTATAGTGGATAATTCTACGATGATTTTACAACCATGAAAAGTAAAAAAAAACAAAACATAAAATTAAGTTTTTCTTGATGAGGAAGAACACTCTGTATTCTAGAAAGAAAAGTGGTGCAAAACTCAAGTAAGACATTGTGACGTCTAAAAATTAAATTTGCATAAGGCAAGACATTTTTTATTCCTTGTTTCGCGTACTTATTTTGTTAAAGATCATCAGAGGAGGGCGGAGTAAAAATAAAAATAAAATTTTGTTTTCTTATTTAGCAAATAGTTTTGCCAAAAACATCCAGACGGAGGAGAAAATAAAAATAAAATTTTATTGGTGAATGTAAAATTGGATGTTAAATGCTTCAAATTCATATAATTAGGAAGAAATATACATATTTTATCTTTGGAGATTTCAAGGCAGCTGGGCGTAATAAAAATAAAAACAAAAATCATTTTTTTTGTTTGGGGGGGGGGGGGTGCAGGTGCGCTAATTGGCCAAAAATAAAATTTTATTTTTATTCGAAATCATCAATATTTGCGTTCAGCTTATTCGCTAAACAAGGTATAAACAAAGTCTTACTTAAGGGATACACATAAGTAGGAGAAGCATTACATAACGCTGTTAACTATTTGCGGCAGATCATCATTAGTGGGTATAGTACAATAAACTACTGAACAAAGGAACATTGTAAATGAACACCAGTGACCAAAAAATAACTAAGGAAATGAACGGAAGTTATTGTAACAAATTTAGGACACATAAAAGAATAGGATTTTCCTACAAGGGAACAATACAGGAATGCTTCCGACAGAAACAATACTTTTTAAAACGGGAGGCACACTTCAGTAAAGGGTCTTGACATCTTGATTTCTCTGTGGAATGAATTAGCATTGGTTTTTCCAAGAAATATTACAAGGTCGCAAGAGAAGAAAGCAGCAGGGTGTGAATAATTGTGACCCGGGTGTGACGACCTTTGCGTTAACTAGGCCCAATTACCAAAAACAAAATACAGTAAATCCATAATGCACTTTATGCCTCTCTGCTGGGATCACTTTCAATTTGGAACTACAATGTTATTCTTTCTCAGTAGCCCAGCCAGCATCATTGTTGCCCAATAATTAATCAACATATGCTAATCAAATTCTATTAAAATATGTTAACATTATATATATGTTAATCATATATAATCAATATTTGATAAGGAAATAAACATAAACAACACAACAAATCAACCATAATATTTGCGCAGGATCAATTCCATGAATCAAGAGACATCAGTCATAAAATTCCTTAAACAGTTTAACATACAATAGAGTAGAACACAGAACGTACCACCGGGTTTATTCGACTGGTTCATTTCGTTGACTACGATTTTTCATTGAATATTATTTTCATTTGACTGGTTCATAAAATAGACTTTGTTAGCAACAAAAATTAACGCAACCAGAGTGCGTGGATAACATTAAGTTATCCACGTGACAAAAACAAACATGGCCGATTGGTCAGTTTAAAAATAAAAATTTGCGTTAATATAATTTACATTAAATTTCAGAAAATAAAAATTATAATATTTACCCACATGAAGTAAAAAAATAATTGTAGGCTAACAGAATTAAAAACTGGATGAAAACATTTTTTTATATAAAAAACCCATACGGCCATAAGCTGAAGCAATCTTGATTACGCAACGTGTATCGCAGTAACTATGCAGCCATTTTATTTTGTCGAGTATTTACTTTAAGTTTTCTATTCAACTGGTCGCCTTCATTAAGTAGGATTTTACAACTGCGCAGGTGGGCATGGTTTAACGAAGGACGACCAGTCGAATGCGGCCAGTCATTCAGTATGACAGTACACATTTGAACTTTAGAACCATGTTTTTCAATTTAAGCCTACTATTTATAGATGACAAATATGAGTTACCATTTATAGGAGAGAATGAGAACCATTTATTAATATTACTACACACTAAGGTACATTTAATGTACTGTCAAAATGCTTGTCCTGCAACAACATAAATTCCTATCAAAGTGTTGTTACTAAAAACAATTCAAAATTTTATGAAACCCAGAAAACCTAAAAACAGCACATGAAGACCTTTGAAGGAAATCAAAACACGTGCAATTTAACCAACATCCGCAACCAGAAATCACAGGTAAGAACGGCAGCTCACCAGTGCATACCTGTTGACAGGATATTGCATTCTTACATCCTACACATACAAATTTAGCAATATCAAATTACAAAGGTGTATGGGTATATCACTAGAGGAAACCTGTGTTTGAGAGTACAAATTGAATTGAAACAGTGCCAGGTATGAGATGCAGTCCACTTTTGAATCCCTGCCACCACTTATTTTTATGTTTCAGTTATATATCTATTTTTATAACATGCTGCTGAATGAATACCCTAATGTGCCAACATGATAGGTTACAAATGAGCTCCCATTTTGTAGGCTGAACAGCCTTACAGATTAAAAAAAAATTTTAATTACAGTATTGTTCTTATTACTAAATGTTTAATTAATCTTAATATATAATTATGAATATACTGTAGTTAATGAACATTGTGCTATAAGCCTCAAAGAAATGCAAAACAGATGTATTTTTTTCACTGAAAAAGTTGCGATTAAAGAAATCCATTCTGATCAAAAATAACAAAAAACAAAAACAAATTTATAATAAATATATAAGTAGCAACAAAATCAACATGTAGTTGCCATTAACCGTGCATATTGATGACAAACCATATGACAAACTGAATATAAATGGAATTTTATCAATAAAATAAAATTATTAAGATAAGCTATTAGTCCAAAATCTTGCATTATGTCCAGAGTGGTTGAAATATTAGTGATGTCAAAACCACCTGAAAGACCTTGATAGTTTGACATTTATTAACACATGCAGAGAACAGAATTAGTGGGTGACGATATTAAAATATAGTTCTCGAATATATTAGATATCTATGTATTTTATGTGTTTACTATTTTCACCATGTTTTTTTAAATACTATAGTATTTAGCCAAATATGGGCGCAACACTTACATTGCGGGTATGAAGTGTCATTGTGGATGGTGACGGGGAGCATTTGCTGTCCGAACCTGGTGGTGGGCAGGGCATTATAGGCCTGTTCAATGGGCGAATGGTGCTGGATTGGAGTATGGAGTGTTGGCAAGTTGTGGTAACGTGTGTTGTTGGTTGTAGTAGTAGTAGAATCGTCAAGGTTTGTTTGTGCATCAGGGTCTTTGAAAGATAAAACATAAAACAGACAAAATAAGACAGTTGAATTATAGAACATACGGAAAAGTGGACATTTTAGCAGAAGCTTTCAAATAATAATATTGATAACACAAATTGCATTGATAAAAAAAAAGATACAAATAAAAATTGGGATACAATAACATGATGAGAAGACTTCACAATGCAATATAGGTCACTCATTGACCTATTTAACAATGACATTTGACATCTGATCAAGCCTGAAAATACTTGCCAAAACCAGTCTACTGATTTGTTGTCAAATGACACAGCAATTTGTTCATATTCATCAACCTGAATCTTACTACATTAATATTAATATATCTTCTACTGCCTCTTAATTGCTGGAAAGTAACGAAAACAACACATCTAGTTCTATAGTATAGCTGTACAGCCACAAACAATGTAATCAGGCATCCTCAATATATTTCAGGTGTGATATACATGGAAATAATAATAATACTTTCTAGGAGTAACATCCCAACAAACACTTTAAAACTTGAAGTGGAAATGTATACCATGATTAAGATGCTTGCCTTTCCATCCCCAGGGCCCTGGCTTCAAATCTTTCTCTCACAAATAAATCACACCTCCTCTCTAAGCCTTGTAATTTAAGATTTAGTTTAGAAAACACGTGTATTTTATTTATTTTTTCATTTATTTAAAGAGGATATCTAAATACCAGCTGGAAAGATAAGCTGGAAGAGTCATCACCTATGGTGTAAAAAACAACTAATTTTTGCACATCATTATTGACATACAATTGAACAAGTCACTAGTACAGTAAGTCTACACACTATAATTCATCAAACAAATAAGTTACATAAATCACCAATCCAATAAGTCACTATTGATCTAATAAGTTACTAACGTCATCAATTCAACAACCAGCCCTCAAAATTAGTAATTAGCAATTTTATCAGTGACTACCACTGGCACTGTAAAATTTCTGAAATACTCTACAATATACTGTAAAGTTTTAAGTTTTACTTGTTTCTGCAAGGACTTCTGGAAACACCATGGACTACTAGCCTGTGGCAGCTTATAATTTATTATGGAAAGCAAATTTTGACCAAAAAATCACTTTACCAATGTGAGTGCTGTGGACGATGTAAAAAGTATAAGCTTTGGCTAGGCACCGTTGTTTATCCCAGCACTGACGCATTCAGGCGCTAATTTTGAGGACAGCCAGTGCTGTAAGTTTGTATCAAATAACTTACAAATAAACCAATCAATCCGATAAGTCACAATTAAGTTGCTCAATCCATTAAACTACTGAGTTATCAACGAGTCATTAGTCGAATGTCACCAATAAGTACTCAATCCATTAAGGCAAAAGCAGATAACCTCATAATTAGGGAGAAAATTTAAGATGAAATTAAAGTTGCTTTTGTTGTCATAAAGTAAAACATTATATTTTGGCTGATAAAATTTGGAACCAATAAATATGTTATTAATTACTAAAAAAATAAACTATTAAAAAGATCTTAAATTTAAAGAACAATAAATAGATAATATACTGGTAATATTACAAATAATACACAGTATTTCCTAATAATACTACTAATAAAATTAAAATTCTTTTAAAAGTTTGAATACATAACTAGAATATGCTATAGCATAGTACTATATATCGAAAGTTTAAACTGCATTTAATGTTGCAATAGGTTGCAATGTCTTTATTGCATTATCGACATAATCAAAATAAAACATGGATTTCCCAGGAGTCCCAAAATATACAGCATTTGTCAACAGGTGTACAGCATAAGGTGTGTCATACTGGACAGGTTGAAATCACAAGCACCATCGAATACAAGGTCACATGCTTATTATTTTATCAGGTCATAATTTCATAACATCCACTTAACAGTGTGGGGGAGGGCAACTGATGTCTATGTATTACTATATCTATACGCTTGTCCTGTAGTGTAGAGAGGTATCCCATATCTATTTTGAGTTTTAAAGATAAATCCCTCACATCAACAAGGCACAAACATTGTAAACTATAAGCACAGGATACGAGTGAAAATGTCTTGTGGCTATGTATTATTATTGTGGGCATTTTCTTATATGTTGACGTTTTTCATCTATACATTTTATCGAATTCTACCATAGCCTATAATATAAAGGAACAGTGGTATGATGTCATGAATTATTTACCATACTCATGAATAACCACTACTCCGTATAGTTAAATGTAACATGTTATGCGAAAACGGGAGACAAACTGATTGGTTCAGACGACGATCGGACTACACCTAAAGAAGGTCCAGACGGACCGAAAATTTGCGTCATACACAGTAAGTGTTGAATGTATATATATATATATATATATATATATATATATATATATATATATATATATATATACCTATATGCTTATATATGTTTTTACACTGCTGTCAGTACACCATACAGTACTTAGGGTTGAAATGGCTCCATTTCGTGTTAAATCTTATATGTCAAATATGACCCTTCATAAATTAAATGGTTTCATTGCTAATCTGATAGCATTGGGTGAGTTGAAAATAAAAAGCAGTTTATTCTAGAGTAGAGTCGACAGTTAAAGAAAAATTTTTTAACCAAATTTAAGATCAGGTCGTAGTCATAAGTCAAAGGTATTATGTATGAGTTCATAATCCAACCTTGGCTTTTCTCAAGTTCAAAGTAAAAAAACATAACACAAATCCAAAGTTAATCCTATATTATAACTGTATGCTTCCTTAAAACTACAATACATTACTCAATCAGGAATTAACCAGCAGTTTTCATAAGTCTGTGATATAATCAACTTAATTATAATTATCTAACAGTAATTTAATCTCTTAAAATCTCTCGCCATTTCATAATTTTAAAGATCTTAATATGCTCTTCTAAAAAGAATTTCAATATTTAGTATAATTTGCATACTTTCATTTGCATTATTTACATTCATTTCATTTTTATATCAAACTTTAAATTTTTGTGTTTAATAGCATGATTATATTATATAAAATTCTTCTTACTATACCTGTAGTATTTTTATTGATTTTATAAACAATAAAGGTAAGTTATTAATAATTCATCCAGAAAAAATGAAAATTCTTCACAGTCATAACTTTGTAGAAGGTCCCTTTTTGATGTGCAAGTAGTTGAAAATCACAAGGCTTAACCTTGGTGACATCAGCCATCATCTGATTGGAAGCTAAAAGGAATCAAAGTCAAAGGTGACATCCTGAACAAGTACAAAATCTTAGTTCCCCATATTCTGAAAGTACTCAGAATCTCGAGGACCATTGTGTGCAACAGTGGATTACATTTACTCAAGTATCTTTTAACGAAGCTTGTAATTTTAGTCACATTAGTGCAAAAAAAGTTATTTGCTTTATACTCTACACTGATTTAACTATGAGCGTTAATTTCAATACTAAACCTGCACTTGTTACAATTTGGAAGCCATCAAATATTCAATAAAATCTGTACTCATTCAAAAGGATTCAAGATCCAGTTTAAACCTCCACTTAGCAAAGATCATCAATTATGCAAAAAAATTGTAAATTTCAAATTCAATTATTATAATTTTGAAATTGAAGGCTAAAATAACTAAAAAAAATTACAGTATTTAGGTAAGCTTAAATAAACATTAACTATTGACGTTTTTCTTTATTTAGTAAATTTAAAAGGGGCTGTATCATTCACAATGACCTACAATATTAGGATTAATATGAAGAAGCCAACAACAGTAATTCAAAACAGTTTTTAAAACATTTTTAAATATTACGTACAGCCGTATTTAGTTGATTTTCACCCTTGCTTTTGGCACTTTATCAAAGGTGGATTTATAGTTGAAATGACTTTCACTATAATTTATTTAATATTATTAATTATTGCTTTAATCAAAATTTATTTTAAAGTGGAAGTTTAATCAGTAGAAATATGAATAGTAAAAGAAAAATTGTTAGCATTATAAAATCTTAAATAATATAGTATTGTAGTGCAGTAGATTATATAGCATGCATTACAATTTTGAATGTTTAAAACATACAATTTTTAACATTTAAAAAATGACAAACAATTAAAACCACACATTAACTAATGAAATGCTTTGAGCATGTACTGTATATTATTAATAATATTTGTAGGCCTATGATATTAGAATATTTTATACATGATAAACAGTAGGCAGACAGAGGTGACAAAGATATTATTTTTATTGATTCTAAATATAGACTGGGCATATTTAATAACTTTAAAAGTATTTTTCAATAAATAAATTCATCCTGAAATATAAGCCATTTGTTATTTGTCTTAAGTAGCAGGACAATACGAAAAATCATGTAGTGATGATAATGTAGATGATAAAAAATAGTTTAAATGAAGCGATTTGTTTCATTCCCCTTAACTGCTGTTGGTAATTTCATAATTAAGGAGACTTCAAATTTATTGTGTCATTTTTCACCACAAACTAATAACACACAATTACCAGCCAAGGTTGCATTGGTTAAGAATGGTTCAGGGTCTTACAATCTCCTGTTACATGACAATTGTACAAGATTAACACAATCCTCAGTCTTTGCCAAGATATCAATTTTATACAGCACGATTCCTTTATTATTATACATTGTTAGGTCTGATACATAGATCAATAGTTTAGCTTGCATAGTCGTCTTGTACAGTGAATACATTTGCCTTGCCTCTAGAGCTGTTAAGCTTGGAGTGAATCCAAGTCAAAATTAGGTCAACGGGGAATACCTAACATCAGCTGAGAGCTTTCCAGAAAAATTACTATGAAGAGTGGAAGCCTACAGCCTGCATGTGTTACTAGCAGCTAGACCAGTACAGGCTTCTTGTAGATATTACAACCAGCCGGATCAGGAGTACAATGACACTGAATAAGAACCAATTAACCGAAGGGGAGGACGAAGCGTGTATACAATACTATAGTCAATTCAATACTGATACTGGCTTGCTAAAAACAGTAGCAAATGTAGGAAAGGCTAGCTTAAAACGATCTGATGTACTGTAATGAGCGTAAATAACATTCAGCTCTGTTACTACGGTGCCAATCCACAGTTTATGAAAACTGTGTCCGCATCATCTAAATGTGCAAATCTGTATAATTAGCCTCTTTAAACAGTAAAGTTGGATTGGGTAGTTCCAACAGTGATAAGAACTGTATAGAATAGTCAAAGTATATAGTTAACAAGTCAAACCTAACATTGTAGGTAACAACAAGCAACAACAAAACCTGATAAACCATATTTAATTTAGTGCCTATTTTTCAGAAATGGTATAAAATGGTAAACATTCAGTATTTCAAAATAAAAACACACAGTTCGCTCCCCGTAATTTGAAATAACCCAGTGGTGAAATAACCAGGAAGATTTTTCACAAGCATAAAAGTTCAATGAAAACAGCATGAATACTGCGCTCACTACCCACTAATAGACTGACCACACATGCACAAAATCCTATTATCTGTTGCTTAAAGCTAGTTTAAATACTAGTGCGAAGAGCACTGTAACTTTTTAACCAGCATGTAATGTAAAGTTACCCTTCATATCTTGTGTAAAATTAGTCCAATGTGAACATGGTTTATGTTTCTGATATTAACTCTTTTTAAAAACTCACCAGGAGACTGCATAATAAAGTTGGCTAGGTATAAATCCAGTTCTCTCACGCTAACACTGATGTGGTAAGGTTGAACGCAGAGAGAAGGATTACCACAGGCGGAAGACTTCACCAGACGTTCTCCATCTGTACTCTCGAGTGGAATAGCTTTGAACAAGACAATCATTACAAGGTCCAAACGCCAGACTTTATCAGCCTGCCTTAAACAGTCAATTCTTCGCATTTTGCCTTTCTGGTCTGGGTTGCTCAGAATACAGCACGGTAACTTTTTGCCAGTAACAGTATATACAAAATCCTCACGGAACTCTGGCCTTATATCTTTCCGTAACTTTGCCAATAATCTTGAAGCCCATTTCTGTTTCAGTTCTGGTTTGTCGTTCATTAACTCATCTTTTGTCTGACGTTCTTCATCTTGTGTCATTCGTTTCTCATGCTTTTTGACGTACTTGCGTTTACGGGCCTGGAGATTAAACCACACGTAAGAAAAATCCCTAACGTGTGGCAATAAGGCCTCGATGAAAGGGTGGAACTCATCCTATGTATAAAAAAAAAATAAGCATACATGAAGTCCTCTATTAATAATATGGCATTTTCAGAGTGATAATGGGTACGATCAAGTATACTGTACAATGATTCAATATAAAAAGCTATGCTTTTTTGCTATTATTGGAATTTTAGCTCCATATACTTACAAGTTCTCTACTAACTTAGAGGTAGGAACATTGTACTTTAAAATAAATATACTGTACTCCTTTTGCATGAAAGCTGTTTAATCATATATTAATTACACCATTAAAATTTTCAGCAGTACTCTTGTTGCTTTATTTGTTACCACGAGTACAAAGACCAGATTTTCCAAAACCTTAAGCCTGTTTTTAAGTACAGTATGTTGGCAGAGCCACATCATGGTACAGCCACGCATTGACTCTGCATTGTGTACATGTGCCTAGCCTAGTAAAGTAGAGTTTTGTTTGTTTGTAAATAAACATTACACGAAAGTGTTTGAAAACAAATATGTGCACATACATTTAAGGCTACTATATCAAATAGGCCTATACTATAGGATATATCCCCTTCAATGTGGTTAGAACTAAAAAGCTGGGTAGTGTGTTCTGAAATCTAGGCCACAGAAAATACTACTTGAAATGCTTTCGGTGCGTGAGCCGTACCACGTTGTTCACAACATCAACGATCATCATGTTTACAGACAGGTATGGCATGGTCAGCTTGCTAGGCTTGGCTGTGCCTCTAAGTCTAAATTTAAAACAGTAACTTACAAACTACATTGCACTATGATACTCAGTGATATATTTCATATAGAAAAAGAAGTATATGAATGTAGGATTTACAATTTCCAACCCTTCTCAGTTTTTCAACCGACGATAAAATGTAAACAATCCAACGAAGTCCTTACCATAGACATGATTGTATGCATGGGTCTAGATTCTCCTCTCAGGTCGTTCTCATCACAAGAGTAATCCAACTTGGCTCGCTCCGTGTCTGCCTCGTGTTTCCTAAAATTCTATTCTTTCAAACACAGCCGATTTTGGCTCCGAATCCTTGGAACAAATCCACTAAAATGTTCTTTATGTAGAATGTATACCTCTTTCGTAGCTATGGCGTAGTAGAAATTGTGTATGTTGCAATCGAGCGCTTTGTTTTGCTTACGTTTCAGAGATCCCCTATCTTATTAGCATAAAAATGAGCTGATGCGTAATCGCCAGCCAATGAAAGAAGGGGGCGGGTTGATATTTGCGTAAGTGATTGGCATGTCACAATCTTACAGGCTAAGAACTCAGTTGAGTCAGTAACAAGAATTGAGAAGTGATCACAATGTTTTGAATATAAATTTACTAATAAAACCTCAGTAATCCAAGGTTATTATCATATAACGCTTGAATAGTATATAAAAAGGCCAAAATAAAGCCAACCATATTCCCTTTACGCTATATTTTGAGTGAATTGGATAGTAAGCAAGTCTATAAGCAAAGTTTTGGTGCATTTTCTTATGAGTTTGACTGCGGACGTTGAACTTAACGGAGAAACGTTTAGAATCACGAGGGCTACAAAGAGCGGCAAATGAGAGGAAAATGTAGATCAAGGGCAGAAAACACGCAGTTCCGATTCTGTGTTGTATTTACGTTCGTTTAGGATAAATTAGTTTTATATCGTTCGTGACTACGGTATCCCTTGATGGTGTTTGCGCAAAGTACGCATGCTTAATATTTGTGTAGAGAGTGCGTGTGTGGGTGTCTAATTTGCAACGCGACGAGTCTTTCATTTAATTAGGTTTAGTCGGATAAAACAGGATTAAAATTACCTAGGCCTATTCATTCCATTAAAAAATATATATATATTATGTTCTCTTGTGTTATAGGCACGTCTATTTATAAAATTTACTTATTCTTATGTTTACTTTTGTAAGCCTGTCTATAAATATTAAAACAGAAAAGAACGGAAAAATACAGTATCAAGAAAGTTAAAAATTAACAATTGAGCGTAAAAACCTAAGTTCAAGAGAAATGTCAAGAACAAATTATTAGAGTACATGTTCTTATTGATGATGCTCCCTCTGAAGATTTCAATTACATTATACTTTAGTTTAATATATGCCTAGATTGTTCGAGTGAAATTGAGTTCTACTTCCCGACAAAAGAGAAAAAGAAGTTTTATATGTATTAAATTATTATTATAGATGCATTTGTTTTTCGTTTTTGTTAGGCTGTACCCCATTTTCGTTCATTCCTCATCCCGAGGAAGACATGTACTCCCCACGACCTTATTTAAGGGGGAGAGCTTATGTTCGGGGAGATTAGCGGCGAGGGGGAGGGTACATTCAGGGGCACGTTGTAAGGAGTGGCACTTTTAAGGAACGACTTTGCTAGAACTACCGGTACTTTACATGCTTACACACACAAACACGGGGGCAATAAGATATGGATATTTGGGGGAGGGAGTGAGCTCCAGCAAATGTGTCCGGCCCAGTTTACTACCGCATATCACACGATGCATAAGAAGGTATTAAATCTGAAATTTTTCATGCGGTATACTTTTATTTTTAAAAAAAACATATTTGGGCAGGATAACATATACAGGCGAGATCTTACCGCTGTTTTACAATATGGTCCTGCAAACACATATTACAATAACAACAACAAAAAGTAATCAGCACAGTACAACAAAATAAACAACAGTTAAAACTTTGGTGAAAAACTATCCCCCGCCGGGGGATAGTTTGTGAAAAGCAATTGACATAAAATTAATTATTTTTGTTAGATTGGGGGAGGGGGGAGGGGGAGGGGTGTAAATATTGGATTGGCATAGTTTCCTCATTAATTACCAGAAACAAGAGTCTAGGCCTATCTTTTACAATAATGACCAATAAATTGGATGTATGGTAATCATTTTAGGCAACGAATTATTGATGTCTCTTAAAATCAGTGTGAAAACGTAATCAGTTCAGTTTGATCTGAATTTCATTGGAAATTATAATTTCATTCTTATAAATACGATTTTCACTTAGGCTATATAACAGGACTGCTATGTGTCTGGTACCATATACATTATACACTCACAACTAAAATTTATATATGTACACAGGCCTAGGCTAACGGATCGTCAAACACTAGCAAGAGGCCTCTCAAATCTCTCTTTATTTAGAGATGTTATTTAAACATAATCAGAATACAACTGATGATTGTAAATATTGATATTTGCAGTCATTTCTTGTTATAGGTATTGTTTTAGCGAATGGATCGCATATTATAGCAAATACAATTTAAGTCGAATTGGCATACTTGCACGTTTTAATTTTCATTCTATAATTCGCCACAAGCGTGAATGCTGTATTCATTCTAAAAAGGTACGGTACCGTACGGTAACACACAAAGGCCTACAGTAAAACGTTTTATGCATCAAAATTAAGACCTGATAACTGCAGACCAGGCAAAACTACAGGAGCATTGGTACAGTCACCTTGAATATGGAAGATTATCATTATCATCATCCTCATCATCATCATCCTCATATCATCGTCGTATCATCGTCATAATGCGGATTCAAGGGGGGGGGGGCATCCCCCACCCCTTAAATTGTTCAAAATTTAAAAATAAAAAATGTAAAGAAAATTATATTAAAATTTGATGTCTGAGAGTGCAATTTCCAGCCATCTAGAGGTGCCATAATCACAAATCAGCCCCAACCATGGGGCTGAGGTAGTAGGCATACAGCTCCTCCATTTTTTAAAGTACCTCCTCGGGCCCCTCTATTTTGAATTTCTGGATCCGCCACTGATCCTCATCATCGCCATCATCGTCATTATCATCATCATCATCATTCCTTATCAAAAGTAGTTTTAAGATTCCGATCTCCTGTTCTTATGACATCAATATCGTAGCTTCTTGCACTTTTTCTTTTTTAATAATAGTGACACTGCTTGTTCGACAATCACGCAATTGATAACGAAAGACTTGAGGCAAGGCCCCTGGCCAAAGTTCTTCGGGACCCACTGGGGCGGATGCATGATTTGGCGGTAGGGGGTGCGTGAGAGTCCACACGACCTCAGGCCCAATTTTGGGGCTGAGGTGCGAAAATGTTGATAATGTGGACCTCTAGGTGCCCAGAAATTGCACTCTCATACATTCAAAATCATACAGGTACTTTGTTCATATCAACAATACAATAGAATAATGTTTCTTAATACAGTTTAGGTGGGGGCGATTGCACCGTTGAACACCGCCCGCATCTGCCCCTACCCCGGGACCCAGGGCAACTGAGTGGGATCAGGAATAGCCCGTCTATCTTTTATTTACGTTTTATGACGTATTTATGTTTTTTTTAACATTCTGCTCTTATGGGTTCGCCCGATTTTTGGCCCATGATAGTCCTACCAAAAACGCCAAAAAACAACATTAACAAAACAACGTCGAACGCGCGAGATCATAGTACAATGGTCTATTTTATACCTCTTTGGTCTAATTATAGATCCTGGTACTATAAGCAATACAACAGAGTGCTACACTTCCAGGTTCACCTGCAAATGTAGTTATTGGCATTATCAAGGCAGCGTAATACAATCCATAAGCCTAATATCTATTGTTGAAACCGGCCAATTGAGGAAGTCGAATCCATAGGCCATACTTTTATTTTTCTCGAGAAAAATGCCACTACTTCCGGATTAAAAAGAAAAAAGTTAAAAAAAAAAGTTATATAAGTACTTCGATCGCGAAGAGTTACAAGTTTGTCATTTTAGTTTGTTGGAAGAAACCGGTTGAGTCCAGAATAGATGCCATTTGATATTGATCACTATTTCATTTCAAAATAATATTATGCCTATTGTATATATACGGTATATATAAATTGTCAACGTTAAACAAGAGGAATCTGCGAGTGTGAGAAAAAAGGTTCCCCAACCGGGATTCGAACCCAGGATCTTTTGCTGTCATAAGCAATGCGTTGTTAAAC